GCTGTCTGATGGCGGTTGAGTTCTTCCATCAGCTGTTTGCATCTCATTGGCCAGGCCCATACTGCAAGGAAACCTGGGAGTTGTAGTCTTCAGGGTTATCGTGCATCCCAGTAGAGAATGGGTTCCTGGAGAAGACAGGAGGCCTTTCTGTGGCCTGCCCCCCACCTGGCTGGACGGCTGCTCCCCTCCTTCGGTCACCTGTGGTGGAGACAGAGGAGGTGACTATGCCCTCTGTGGGCTGCCTGCCTGTCCATGCCCCGGTGCACAGCCCAGCCAGCCCAGCCTGTGACTCCTGTGCGCTGCTGAGCTCCTGAGTGGCAGCTGCCCACCCTTCCAGTCCCCGTGGGATGTGACCTTCCCTGTCACACTGTCCACGCCTCAGGGCTCAGCTCCCACTGAGGGTCGATGAGGCTGGGAGGTGGCCCGGCTCTGCCACGTGCCCTAGGGATCGATGTGTGACTGTCCCGGCCAGTCCAGAGGACGGACAGACCCTGGCCCCAAGTAAGAAGCAGAGCAGGGAGGGCTCCGTGAGGGGCTCTTAGAGAGACATGACTTTGGTCTGACCCAGGAGGATGCCCGCAGGGGCTGGCTCCCAGGCCTGCGGCCCAAATCCCTCTGGCCCCAGAAGGGCCGGCTCCAGCTCTCCTGCAGAGTCCCAGGCAGAAACGCCTGGCAGGGCAACAGCACGGGGCTATAAGCCAAGCGCTAGCCCCAGCCAGGCCTGTGGGGACCAGGCGTGTCCCCCACGTTGGGCACCCCGGTCTGGCCTGGCAGGGCCCCAGCGGTCACCTGGTCTGCTCTCTGCCCTTAGCCCACCCTGTCTGGGCGGCACAGCTGCCACGGGCCCCATGGCACGCCTGGGTCGCCGACGGGAGGCCAGGCTGCCCTTCTCCAGGTTCCTAGATGAGGTCACCGTGCAGGTGCTAGACCCCCGGGTCCTGGAGGCCTTCAGGGCCGCACCGAGAGGCCACAGCCAGGAGCCCACCTCTGCTGAGGAGCGAGGCTCTGGTCTGGCCCAGGAGTGCCCACGAGGAACTACCACTCTTGGGGAGAAGGACCCGGCCCTGAACGCCCCATGTTCCTTGGAAGCAGCTGCTGAGGCCGCGGGCAGAGGGGAGCTGGCCCCGGCCCTGGAGACCAGGGGCCCCTGCGTGGAGAGCCTGGAACGTGGAAGCCGTGCTACCTGCTCCTGGAGACACCTGGACCAGGTGAGTTGCAGCCTCAGCTGACCCCCAGCAAGGCTGCAAGGCTCCTCCTCCCCCACAAGTCCTGCCTCACCCAGTTCCAGGCGCCCTGTGCACCCTCCTGTGGTACCCACGGTAACAGGGAAGGCCTGCAGTGCCCAAGGAGTGAATCCCTAAGCTGAGATCCCTGGCTCTGGAGCAAGGAGACTGCTTTCGGGTGAAGTACAGATGAGAGAGGGTCCCAGCAGCCCAGGCAGAGCCCCGGGGGGTCCCAGTCCTGGTGATGAGTCCAGCAGCATGGGCGGCAAAGGGCCCCGGTCCTTGCTAACTGGCTCCACTTCACAGAGTGGTAGACAGAACTGGGGTCTGTGTTTGAACTGTGAACCTCCGAGCTCAGCAGCGCCCTGGGCTTGCTCACGCACGCACACACAGACTTGCACGTGTGCGCACACTCAGCCCTCAGCCAGATGGATAGGCAGGTGGCATGGGGTCTAGTGAGCGAGGATCCGTGAGTGCAGTTGGGCTGAATGTTGAAGGGCCCAGGGCCCCTGGCAGCGACCTCTTTATGTTTTAACCTTGTATGACCCCTGGGTCCAGGGAGGGTCCTTCCAGGCCGCTCAAGATGCTGCCCATATGCTGGACCACTCCAGACTGCCAGTGGCCCTCTGGTGCAGAGAGCTGCTTCTGGGTGTGGCTGGACCCTCGGGCCTCTCTGCAGTGTGCCTCCTTGAAGGGAGACCTGGGCATCAGCTGCAGCAGGGGGCTTGTGTGTCGCCTGTGTGCGGGCAGGGTGGAGCCAAAATGGTACTAGATCCACGGCAAGGCCAGGGCCTGGGACTCAGAGAGCTGAGGCTGCTGGGGTCCTGGCTGGGCTGTGACTGGCTTGGAAACCTGGGCAGGGTGCATCCCACAGTGTCCCATGGTGCTAACTCCAGGTGTACGGCACGCAGATGGCACCCAGGCAGTAGGATGTTGGTGATGACAGGGGTGACCGTGTTGATCTGGGCACCCATGCAGGGGGCTCCCTCCTTCCGGGCCTAGACAAGTCTGTGTCCCCAGAATGCTCTCTGAGGTGTTCAGGGGTTCTTGGGGTACAGTGTCCTGGCTCCTGGCAGTCTCAACATGGCCTCAACCGGCCCAGTCAGGGTGGGGAAGCCTTGGGGGTCAACCCTGCTGCTGCTTCATGTGCAGAGTGGCCGCAGGCGAGTGCCCACTCCTCGGCAGGATCCAGCAAGTGAGAGCCAGGGAGGAGCTTCTGGTACAGACTTGGGCTCAGGTTCATTCACACTAGGATGGGAGTGACACTCCCAGAGGCACCGGGCCAGGAGGGACCTGGCCAAGCCCCAGGCTTTCCTCGCCCTCCGGGCCTCCTCTGCAGGTCAGTGGGGCCAGCTAGGTGTGGGCAGAGCCTCTTCGGAGTGGGTGGAGCCCGAGGTGCCTGTGGAAGGACCAGTGTTCGCCAGCTCCCCGGCGGTTGCCACGTGGGATGTAGGCTGGAGTTGCCAGAGCTTCCAAAATTCTCAGTAGAAGCCAAAAATACGGGTTTGAAAATGTAAACTCTCTCAATTTTTGAATGTTGGATCAAATGCTTAAAAAAAAAAAGTGAAAAGAGAGAAACCTTGCAGGCCAAACCCAGCAGGCGGGCGGCCAGCTGTAGCTGGAGGCCAGTTCCCAGCCACCGCGCCAGGCTGGATGGACATCTGTGCCACACAGCTGGGCAAAGCAGCCCTGGCAGAAGTGGACACAGTCCTACCTGTGGCCAAGGACCAGGACCCCTGGGGTCTCAGCCCCATCTGGAGGGGGCACCCAAGGGCATCCCATCCCTTGGGATTCTGGCTTAAGTCCTGGTGGGAGATGCAGTATGGGGCAGCCGTGCTGACTGGTGACACGTGGCCATGCTGTCTTCCCACAAGCCCCCAGAACGCAGGTGCCACACCAGCTCCTTGCCCACTGTCCCCACCATATCTGCCCCTTCTTCCCTACCCCGGACTCCCCTGACCCCAGGCATGGCTCACGTGGACAGCCCCCACCTGGCCCCCTCCTCAACGGACCTGGCCCTGGAACACCTGGATGGGAAGAGGCAGCTCATCCTGGGCCCCCAGGGGCATCTGGTTTGCTCAGCACAGGACTCCACATGCACTGGGGGTTATTGATTGAATGCAAGACACAGCAATGCCAGCTTGGCAGACTGAATGGACAAACTAGCCCTCTGGTTATGGCCATGCTGGCCCCAGGACAGAGTGGAAACAGGTGCCCAACATTGGCTTTAGGAAGCCCCAGGAGGCTGAGCACTGAGGTTGGATCTGGGTGAGCCGCTGCAAGATCCTGCGGCCCATCAGGGAGCAGGCAGGGATGGCCAGGTGGCGAGGGTGGGGAGATCTGGGCAGGTGATGAGCTGGGTCCCCATGGGCTGTGTGTGTGTGCAGTTAACCCAGTGACTGTTGAGACTCCACGAGAGCTGCAGGGGAAAGGTGGCCTTTGGGGATGATGGCGATGGTCTCTGGGCAGGCTCAGGGTCCTCGGAGAACCTTGCAGTCCTAAAAAGAGGAAACCAGCCAGGCTGGGCCCAGCTCCATCCCCCACCCCTGAAGCTGCACCCCTGCAGCTCCCTACCTCTCCCAAAGCCCCTGGGGTGGGGGTGAGGAATTCCCAGAAGAGCTGAACCATAGGAAATAAATAATTAATGCTCGATTTTTAAATTAAATTTTAATACTTTCTGATGAATTTTAAACAAACTCCCTGGCCAGCCTCTCCCTGTGAGTAATTGAGGCAGAGGCCTCCCAGGGTGTCCCCTGCCACAAGCGGGTGGGCTTCAGGCTTCCCCTCCCCCCACCGCAGGCTGGTGCCTTGTGCGGCCAAGCTCCAGAATGGAGGCTTCGCGGAGGGGCCGCTTTTTAGCAGAGCAGCGGGCAGCGCGGGGGGGGGCACTGAGCCGAGCTGCCAGCGGGAGGAAGGCTCTGACTGAGCTTGCCACTGGTGAGCATTCCTAGGGATGGGAGCGAGGGGCTTCTCATCTAGCCCCTGCAGGCCGGCTCCTCCCTCACGGGGACCAGCGAGTGGACAACCGCTGGTGGATGCCTGGACACTCACGGGGTCTGTTTCCATCCTGGGTCAGGTTTGACCCTCGGAACGGCCGGCTCCTCCCACCCGGCGCTGGCTGGGGGGGGTTGGGGGGGATGGCCCAGCCTGCTGGGTGCCAGGGCTGTCCTGGAGAGCGCACAGAACTTCTGCCCAGAAGCCCACAGCCAGGAGCCGAGAAGGCCGGGAAGAACGCCGTTAGGGCGCTGTAGGAGCCTGGCGGACACCATCTGCGTTCATTGAGCGCCTGTTGTATGCGATCTGGTGTGCCGGGCGCCGTGATGGGGAACCGAGAAGGTGGGCCTGGGGCAGACACGGGCGAGGGGTGTCGTGAGGACCGTTAGCGCACGCTTCCTGGTGCACCCCTTTATCTTGGTGAGGGAGTGGGGAGGGGTGGCGGCTTCGAGGAGGGGTCCCAGCTCGGCTCGGGGGTCTCGGCAACTTTGAGACGCCAGGGAGGGGAGCCGCCATTGCAGGCGCCCCTGGGAGCCCTCCCCGCCCCAGCAAGTCCTGCCGACCCCAGCCCCTCCGCAGCCCGCCAGGGGGGAGTGCCACTCAGTGCCTCGTCCACCTCGCGCCCCTCTCCTCTCTGCCTCACTCTTGGGTGAGGAAGCTGAGGCTGGGGGAGGCCTGCCCGAGCGGCCGGGAAGTTGGCGGCGGAGCCGGTCCGAGGCCCCCGGGGCCAAGCTGCGCCCTCGCCCGGCGGGGCGGTGGGGGAGGCGGCGTGGGGCCCGGACCGAGCGGAGCGCGCTCCCGGCGGACGCGGCGGCGGCGCCCGGCGCCAGGGGCCGGGATGGGCAGTCACCAGTCTTCCCAGGTCTGTGGCGCGGCCCCCGGGCTCGGACCCCCGTCCCCCACGCAGAAATGAGCGGACAGCCCCCGAGAGCGGCCTCTCCGGGGCTCTGGGGCGCCTGCCCCGCGCCCCCCGCTCCACGCAGGAAGTGCGAGCCCGCCCGCGGTGCCCGCCGCGCGCCGGCCCCCACAGGGTTAACGGCGCCGGTGGGTCGCGCCCCCCCGCCCTGCCGCCCGGTGCGCGGGGGGCTGCGGGGCGGGCGGCGCGGGGCTGGGCGGGGAGGGTCTCCCCAGCGCGCGCGGCGGCTTTGCGCAAGCCCGGCAGGGAGCCCCGCTGGCGAGCCGGGCGCGCTGGGGTTAATCCCGCGGGCCCGGGAGGGGCGAGCCAGGCCTGGAACCCCCGAATCCGAGGGCAGCGGGGTGCCCGACTCAGGAGTCGAAGGTTCCGAATGCCCTCGCGCTTGGGTCGTGTGAGTGTCCGCTTTTGCGGTCCCGTGCGACCCCAAACATTCTCCGACTCGCAGGTGCAGCGGTTCCGGCTTCCTCCCGGAGGGAGTGCACGGGGCGGGAAGGGTTAACGGGTGGGGCGGGGAGCGGCGGGGGCCGTGGCGGCCCGAGAGTGCCCGGGGCCGGGGCCGGGCACCCCTCTGGCCGCCGAGGTTGAGCGCCCTGGGCCGGGGCGTCCCGCGTGCCCCCGTCAGCCCCCTACTCGCCCCGGGGGGCGTAACTCGGAGCTGGGGAGCGCGTCGGCCCGGACGGGCTCACCTGTTACTCGACCGCTGCCCGGGGCGCCCCCCGAGTCCCAGGGCCGCGGCCGGGGACCGGGTGCGGGGAGGGGACGGCGCGCCGGGCCGGGCTCCAGGGACCAAGCCACGCGGGGTGCCCCGCGGTGCCCGGCTCGGCCGCGGAGCGCACGCCTCCCGCCTGCTGACACGTTCCTTTGCTTTCTCGCAGGCCTCTGCCGCAGACATGGAGAAACTCAGGTGAGTGGGGCGACTTCCGCGCCGCGACTCGCGGGGACTGGTCCGGGAGGGGGGCGTCCCTGGGCCCCGCGGCGCGGCGGGCACCTTGCTGCGGCCGGGAATGGGGGCTGCGCCAGCCACGACCGGCGCGGAGCGGGGTGTGTGTGTGTGCGCGCGCGGGGTGATGCTGGGTGCTCTCGTCCCCACTGTTACGCACCGGCTCCCCGGCCCTGGCCGCCCCCCAAACCCGCCCCCATCCTTGCGGGCAGCTGCGTGGTCCGGAGCGGTTAAGTTTCCGCCTCGTGGGGGCGGGGTGGGGGTGGAGTCCTAGCCGCCGGCAGAGGCCAGTGCGATTTGGAGCCATTTTGGGGGAATCCCGCAACAGCGTCTGGGGAGTGGCGCTCGGGTGGACTGCACCGGAGCCCTTGGCGGTGGGCCTGGCAGCAGTGTAATGTCCCGACGTCCTCGCTCGCTCGGTCACCACCCTGACTGCCACTCGGGGAACACCTCTCTGCTTCTGGAGTCGGAGCCCAGGCCCAGTGTGGGCAGCAGGCCCGGCCGGCGTCAGCACAGTCTGCCCTGGCCAGGATGCTCTTGCCCTAGCCCTAGGACCCTAGGGAGGCTGTGGACCTGCCCAGTCACTAGGGAGAGGATGACCCCAGTGCTGAGTGTCCAGCTGGGCCTCCTCTCCACTCGAGACCTCCCAGGAGCCCAGCCCTGGCTCTAGGGGGTCCTGGTCCCTTGAGGGGACAGGTGCACCGTCGGTGAGTTCTCTCAGGGCTCCCCAATCTAGGCAGGGAAGAGACCCTCCTGGCCAGGGCAGTTTGCTGGTGCTGGGCCAAGCGTGCGTGGCCTCATCTGGGATCAGGAGAGCAGGAGGAGCCTCCCAGGTTGCTAAGGCAGACATTGCACTCTGCCGTGGGCCAAGTGTGAAGGTGGGTCTGGGTGCCAAGGCCCGAGGGTGCTCGCAGAGCCTCCCCTGGCTCCACTGACCCAGTGGCTGGCAGCAGCCTGGCCCTCTCTCTGCCTCAGTTTCCTCAGCTGGGCAGTGGGTTCCCCCTCAGGACCTGGCCCAACACCAAGGGCCCTGGACGCCCCTGAATGCCGCTGTTTCAGCCAAGAGGAGGCCTTTGCGGTGCCAGTAAGGGGTCCTCCTGCTGGCCCCCAGAGTGCAGGCTTTGCACAGCTCCGGGTCTCGGTCAGACCCGGGCAGGTCTGGGTCTGGCAGGCCCCCTTCAGTACTTGCTGAGCAAACCACAGGACTCTTGTCACCCCCATGCCACTGTGGTGCCCAACAGACGTCAGGAGATGGGGTGCCATGGGGGTCTTCCACAATGCTCTGGAGTCCCAGTCCTAGAGAGCCGGGTGGGCTTCCAAGAAGTGGGGATGTAGGGTGAGGCTTGAAATATGGTGGGAGTCTCCAGGGGCGAGTGACAATAGCCTGGGGCATTCGGGAAGCAGCAACAGATGGGGAGCGGAGGGCAGGGCTCTCTCCCAGCCACCTGCTGTGGCCTCTGTCCTGCATAGTGTCCCCTATGGGCAACTCTGCAACAGGTGTGCAGCTACACACAGGGATGGGTGATGGGCCTGACATGCTGTGCCCTGGCGCGCCATCTCCTTGCCCCCCACGCCCGCCTGCCCCACTCTGCCCTCCTGGCCCCAATTGCTGGACAGCCTTGGCCTCCCGTGAGCACCCTCCATGTTCCCAGGTTTGACCAGCCTGCCTCCTCCGGCAGTCCTCTGCCCGCACGGGCCTCTTTGTGCAGCCTGGGTTCCTGCCATTCCCCTAGGGAAGCAGCTGAGGGATGCTGGAGACTTGTTGGACTGCCCAGTCCAGCTGTGCCCAGTGGCGGGCACACAGCACTGTAAAGGTCTCTGCCACTAAGCAAATACCTGGGGAAGAACCTTGGCACCTGCAGTGCCAGGCACACAGCTCACACTGCCAGCCCCGAGGCCCGCGGTATGCCACCCTTTGGGTTGCTGTTTCTTGCTCAGTTGCTTCCCACTGTTGTTATCTGCTGAGTCCTCCAGGCTGTGCCTTGGTTGGTGGCTTCTTTCCTGGACAACTGTCCGGTTTGCCGCCATCAGGACACAGGATGTCTTGGCCATGTTGGGTGTTCATGGCCTGGGCTGGAAGTGTGTGTACTCTGGGGTGATGTTGACCCTCAATGGCACCTCTTTGTCTGGGTTGTTCTTGGCAAGTCTGCTTGTTTTCTGTCTAGGTGAGAGAAGTCTGCATGTTTTCTCTCTAGGTGGGCCCGTGGCTCCCACCACTGGTGCCATGCTGTGTTGGCTGTGGGCTTCGTGCAGGGGCTGCCTACTGGTGGTTCTTCAGTGCTCTTGATGAGCAGTTGATGGTCTGACAGGTGTGTTGTCTCAGGCTCCCACTGTTTGGTGAGAACTTTGTGCCCCATGCGTCAGGGTCCTGGGGACCCTCCGTGCCCCTGCAGGGGTTCTTGGTGTCACAGGCAGCACTGTGCATGTGCCCACTCCACAGCCGGGGCCCATGCTCTCGTGTCCACTCCTGTGACCTAAGGGGACTCGCCAGGTTTTGTCCCGGGGACAGGTGGCCCCATGTGATTGTTCTTGCTGAAGCCTGGGCTAGGGACATGCTCACTGAACTGTTCCCCACCCCCTGGCTTGGCATCCTGTACTTGTTCAGCTGCCTCCCTGGCGTTGCCCCCAGGTGGGCTCTCCCCATCCTAGCCTCAAGCTTGTTCATCCATCCTGTACCCAACACACATCTGTTAAGCACTACTGTTTGCCAGCGGCCATGGTAGGTGCTGGGCAAACAACAGTTACCCACCCAAGCAGAAACCTCCTGGTTAGGAGAGATGGGGCGGGGAGGGAGGTTAGAGACAAGTGCTGCTGGGGCCAGACAGGAGGGCGTGTGTGGGTGTGCGTGTGTGTGAGCATGTATTCATGTCTGTATATCTGCGATGTGCTCAAGCATGTATGTGGACACGTGTGTGCATGTGGGAATGTGTGTGTACAAGCATCTGTGCATGTGTGCGTGTACACATCTATTGCATGTGTGTATGGGTACATTTGCATCCCTCCCCAGTGCATGTATACACATGTGTGTCTCTGGGTGCATGCGTGTGCGTGTGTGGGGTGTATGCGTGTCACACACGTGAAGATGTGTGTGTGTGTGTGTGTGTGTGTTGAGTTGGGGAGGCTCCTGAGAAGGTAGCCCCAAGCAGGTGCACAGGTGCAGGAGGTGGGCAGGGCATTGGGGCCCACCTCCCTTCTGAGCATCCTCCCTCCATCCCAGCCCCTTCCCACCGCTGCCCCCAGCCTCCTGATTGAGCAGAGCTGCCTGGGCTGGGCCTGGCCTGCCCTTCCAGGCTGTGCGGCCTCGGGTGTCTGCCTGTCTGTGCCACAGTGCTGGCAGTAGCAGCACCTGTCTTGGAGTCTGAGGGCCCAGTGCGTGAATGTGGGTGGGCACACAGTTCTTGGGTGGTCTACTCCCACTTCCCCCCCCTCCAGGCACGTGAGGATTTCTGGTGGGGGTGGGGCTGTGTCTGGAAGTGTCAGGTGTGTGGCTGAAGACTCCAGGTTTCCTGGGGTCTCCAGCAAGGACCATGTGGCATGTAGCAAGGCCTCCTGGTAAGGCCTTTCCCAGTGGGTCAGCGAGAGAGGGGAGGCATCTTTCAGGCTGGCTACCTGGGCCCCACGTCACATTGCCAGGGAAACTGCCAGCCCACAGGTGACCCCCAGGAAGCTGGCATAGAGGGAGACCCTGGCCCAGCCTATGGGAGTAGGCCAAGATGGTCATGTGGTCACCACCTGTCCCTTTGGGCTTTCATCACAGTAGGGAAAACTGAGGCTAAATCCACGAGGCTGTGGATTTACCCCCCACCCCGAGCCTGTCGTGAATGTATGTGTGTGAGAGAGTATGTGTGTCCATCCAGAGATGCATGGTGGCTGGGGGTGAGGGCGGAGCAGAGGGGCCAGCCAGGGCCCGGGGCATCCCCGAGAGGCCTGCAGGTGTGCATGAGGGATCCAGGGTCCCAGGCTGCAGCACAGAATCATGGCCATGACCCCTGCGCTTGAGTACACTGGACCAGCGGGCCGTGGATGAGCTGCCCCCAGCTCTTTACAGTGAGCGGGCTGGTGGGGTGCCTGATGTGTGAAGTCCGCGTGGGCTCCTGGCGGCTGCGTGACCTGAGCAGCGACAGGGAAGCTTGTTGGAGGGTCCTATGGGGGAGCCCTGGGGCCTCAGTCCATCTTCCCCTCCCCATGCTACACCCCGTGTGGAGGGGAGATGGACTGGACAGGGCTCAGCCATGGAGCCAAGATGGTGCTGGGAAGCAGGGGTCTGGGCAGGGTGGAGGGGTGCCCAGGGAGCCCCACTGAAGCCCGGAGCACTTCTGAATCCCTGTGCCTCCAGCCAGGACCAGGCACTTGAGCCCACCGGTGCCAGCTCCTGCATGCCTGCCATGCTGCGAATCCAACTTTGGGTTCAAGGAAATCCTTTCAACTGAGGGCAGACTGGGCGGGGCAAGGGCTCTTGAGGAGGCTGCGGGCACCCCCAGGGTGCAGTGCCCAAGGTGCACTGAAGGGAGCACAGCAGCAGGCTTTGCTGAGGCCTGAAGATGGCTGTGCCTGGGAACTAGGGGCCTGTGGCCTTGGAGGGGCCTTGTCCCCCTGAGGAGGGTGTGGTCAGGTTACATTGGGCCTGCAGCCCCTCCCTCCAGCCTGTGCTGGAGGCCCCAGCAGGCCGGTGGGTGAGGTTCCTGTAGCACCAGGCAGGCAGGTGCTGGCAGGTGGGCAGCTTGGCGGATGGTTGCGTTTTCCAGTAGGACAGGCAGAAGTGGAAAGGGCAGGGCCAGGCTGGATGTGGCTCCAGGAAGGGGGTGTGGGGAGAAGCCGGGACTCCCTTCCAGTGCCCTGTGTGGGTGCTGGTGGGGCCTGCCCAGTCAGGGAGCAGTTGGGAGAGCTGGCAGTGCAGATGTGGCAGGGATGGAGTGAGGGCTCCTGTGAGGGGCAGGGCTGAGATCAGTGCTGTTTGGGGACCTGTGGGCTGCAGCATCTGGACACCCAGCCCTGTCCTGGGGCCACCTTCCTTTCTGCGCCCCCCGGCAGGCCTGTCACCTGGACCCGGGCTCTGGGGACCCATGGTGGGAAGCAGGAGATGGGCCCCCAGTAGGAAGTGGGAAAGCCAGTGGCATCCCCCTGCCCCCGCCTCCCCGTAGCATGGTCATGTGACTGCGTGGATCTTTACCTGAAGTCCACACTCAACAGTAGAGACATGGAGAGTCGGGACTTGCGGTGGGTGTGGAGGGACATGAGGACAGCCCCCCCGTGTCCTAGGTGGCTTTGCCCCCTGCCACCTTCCTTGGACCCTCAGCCGTCTGCCAGTCCCCCTTCTGAGTCTTTCCTGGGCCAGCTGTGCCCCATTGGGCCTTGCCTGCTTCTTGGCATTGCCCCAGGCGCTGGGACCCTGGAGGAGGGCAAGGAGAAGGGTTTCTGACCCAGAGGGGCAGTCAGGAATCTCTCCCTGGAGGAGGGGCCAGAGTCAGCTGAAGAGCAGGGAAGGGGCTGCTCTGAGCAGGAGACACAGCGGATGCCTGGGCCCAGGGTGGCACTGCAGCTGCCCCCTCCCCCCAGGCCCTGCCAAGGGCTCCCCAGGACACGTGGCGTCGGCTCCGGCCTGCAGGGCAGCGGGTTAGGGCTGCAGTGGCCTGATAAGATGAGGCAAGCTGGCCACATGGCCTCTGCTGACTGCAGCTAGGGTGGGAGCCAGTCATAGGGTGCCAGGCCCAGAAGGACTGCAAGGTGGGCAGGTCCTGCGCCAAAAGTCCTGTCCCTTACGGGGGTGGCCAGGCCCCCCTGTGCCCTGGCCCCTGAGGTACCACAACCTTCTCCTCTGAGCCCCAGTGGACACACACGTGCGTGCACACACATGCAAACTGTACTTGGGCACACACGTGTACATGGTGCTTGGACACACACACGTGCACAGACACACATGTATACCATGCTTGGGCACACACATGCATGCTCATGGTGCTTGGACACACACAGGTACACACAGTGCTTGCGCCCACACACATGCGTGCATACCATGCTTTGGCACACACATACATGTTCACAGTTCTGGGTGAACACACGTGCTCACAGTGTTTGGGCACACACACAGGCGTGCACTCACACACTGTTGGCCTCAGTGTCCTCTGGACAGTAGGAGCTGGGAGACATCGGCCCTCAGCAGCCAGCTGTATGAAGAGAGGCCAGCTGGAGCCCAAGGGAGCCCGTGAGCTGGTGACAGGGGCGATGTAGAGACAGAGCCCACGTGAAGGTGCCTGCAGCAGAGCTGTGATCTTGGCGTGGCGCGGACCCACAGGACACAGGGCAGAGTGGCTCTCACGAGACCTAGGACCTGAGGTTATAGCCCTGGCCTATCCCCACCATGAGGACGAATGGGGAGCATGCTCAAGGGAGGGCTGGTAAGATTTCCAGCAGGTGAGGATGAATGGGAATCCCCAGAGGGGGATGAGGCAGCCCTCAGCAAGGGGAAACCAGGGAAGGCTGCCTGGAAGAGGTGGCATTTGAGCAGAACCCGACATGACAGAACCTGGGACAGCTGAGAGAGGCCTGGGGGTTGTGGCCTTGTATCTGGAAGAAGGAGAGGAGGTGAGGCCTGGGGTTCTGCCTACGGCCTGAAGTGCAGGAAGTGGGGTGTAGTGCAGCCTGGGGCAAGGAGGGCTCACTGTGCTGTGCCTGGGTGGGGCCAGTGGAGGGCAGCTAGGGTGGTCTCTCTGGGGTGTGGGAAGCCGTGGTGGCTGGACAGGAGGGTGAGGCCATGGGAGCTGCAGTCGATGATGGCGTGGCACAAGTGGGGAATGGCCGGGTGGGGACATGTGGGAGGGGCAGGTCTGGGGGGTGGTTGGCTGATCCTGGTGGGCCTCGGAGGCAGGTGCAGCCTGCAGCCAGAACGACCCCTACGGGAGGTGGGCAGACAGACTGGGAAGAGCTGGGTGCTTAGCCAGCCCAAGGACTGGCCAGGGTCAGGGAGAACTGGCCAAGTGGGAGCTGCACAGGGCGGCTAGAAGGCCAGCTGGAGGCCAAGGGTGAATGGAGGCTCTAGGTAGCTGCTGCCCCCTGGGCACTTGCCTTGATGTCTGCGCCCTACCGACTGGGCTCCCCAGCTTGGGGCCTCATCTGTCTTTCTCAACTGTGATGACCCAGGACCAGCCCTGGGCTGGGAGCTAAAGGAGGAGAGAAGAAAGATGGCTGGGTGCCCTGTGGGGTGGGCAGACTAGGTAATGGGCAGTGGGCAGTCCCAGTTGATGGGGGTCGCTGGCTTTGAGAGGATTTGTGGGAATGGGGCAGGGCTGGGCAGCAAGGTGTCCTGAGGGGGCCAAGCGCTGCCAGTCACCGCACATCCCCCTGCCCCAGCTGAGCCCTGCCAGCCACCGCACATCTCATTGCAGTGCGCTGCAGGAGCAGAAGGGCGAGCTGCGCAAGCGGCTGTCCTACACCACGCACAAACTGGAGAGGCTCGAGACCGAGTTCGACTCCACCCGCCACTACTTGGAGATTGAGCTGCGGCGCGCGCAGGAGGAGCTGGAGAAAGTCACAGAGAAGCTGCGCAGGTGAGGCCGAGGCCGCCCACGGAACCCCTTGGCCACGGCTGCAGACACTCTGCCGCGGCCGTGGGTCCCTTCAGCTGGGGCTCTAAGCTCTTCCCATAATGCCATCTGTTCACAGCCCCCTGGAGAAGCAGTGGGGAATGGGGTCAGGACTCAGGAGGCATTGTGCCAGGCGGACCCAGCTTCCGCAGAAGGGACATCTGCTCGGTGTCATGGCCCCATCCCGTCTGATTGCACGAGACTGCCAAGTGAATGCAAGCTTGCTCTTGGGCGAGCACAGCCAGGCTATTGGCAGTCGGCCAGCAGGGCAGGTGCCCCCCCCCCCGGCCCCCCAGGCATCCTGACTCTCACCATGGACCCCCAGCATGGCCCCAGCCCTGGCATTGCTGCTTTAAGCACTCTAACCTCACTCTGCCCACTGGTGGGGTGTGGCAGTGACACCCCCAGGTTACCAGTCCCAGATTTGCACCTGTACCACTTGGCCCCACCCCACCCACATCAGAGTTGCTGTCCAGCCAGGTCCCAACCCCCTGTTCGCTTGCCAGTGAACCCTGAGCCCCATGGTCATGCTCCAGGTACCACGTGTGCCATGGGACTCTGCTGGTGCTGAGTGGGGACCTTGCAACTACATGAAATAGCAAGCCTCCCCTCTTGCCTGTGGGGGCCCAGGAAGAGGCCCCGCAGCAGTTAATGCTGCTCAGGCACTGCCTGCTCCGCACCCCCATGCCAGAGTGGGGTTGCTGGGGCGGCTGGTAGGGCACGGCTGGGCAGCAAGGCCAGGTGTGGCGGTGACCTCACTGCCTCCCGTCACATCGCAGGATTCAGAGCAACTACCTGGCACTGCAGCGGATCAACCAGGAGCTGGAGGAGAAGCTGTACCGCATGGTGAGGCTGATCCCTGCCCTCCCTGCCCAGCACGCCGCCCAGCTGGCTCGGGCTGGCCCCTGTGCCTTCCTGCCCAGCATACTGCTCAGCCAGCTTGGAGCTGGCTCACAGCACCTCCTGCCTGATGCCTCAGGGGCTCAGCAAGATGACACCAGGGCTGCAGGGCACTGCCCCAGCAGGTGATACACTTCTATCACAGGATAAGGAAGTCCCTTCTCTCCCTGGTCTTATGCAGCTTTTTTGACTCTAAAAACCAAAAATGGGTGCTTGCAAGCGTACAGGGTTCCCACGCAGGGGGCTGTCCTCGGGTTGCCGATGGAAAGCTGAGGCCCTGAGAGGAGGAGCGGCTGAGCTCTGTGCCCCGGCTGGGTTGCAGTGCCAGTCCCTGGGCTGACCACCTCCTTCCACCAGGGCCAGCACTACGAGGAGGAGAAGCGCGCCCTGAGCCATGAGATTGTCGCTCTCAACAGCCACCTGTTGGAGGCCAAGGTGACCATCGACAAGCTATCAGAGGACAACGTGAGTGGCGCGCGTACCCGCTGCTGAGCGTGGCCCACGAAGTCATGGCTGTTTAGACATGGAGGGGTTCGCAGCCCTGAGGGCGCAGGTGCCCCCCTCCCAGGGTTGCTCAGGGCTTCCAGAGGCCTGGCACAGGGCAGGGCCGACTTCTGCCAGCAGGAGCTGTGCTGAGGAATGCAAGGCTTTCTGATCACAGCCACTTGGGAAACCTGCTTTGGGTATCAGAGCTGTGTAGCCCTGGGAGTGGACCCATCCTGCCCACAGATGCTGACCATGCACATTTAATTAGCACCTGCTCCTTGCCAGGTCCTTCCAGGCACCAGGCTCATGGTATGGGTAGCCCTGGCAAGGGAGAGAGGGATAGCAGTGAGAGGGGCTGCTCCTGGACAAGCTTTAGAAGGAACTGCTCACGCCAGATCTGCAAGAGGTGGTGGCTGAGGAAGACCCAAGCCCTGGAGGTGCCTGGGGACCTAGGGGTGGCCCCGGGGTGGGAGTTGGGGTACGCACTCTGTGTGTAAGCAGAGGAGCAAAGGGAGAGCGGGCAAGGGGGCAAGCGCAGGGCTGCAGCCAGTCACAGGGCAGGACAGGGAGGCTCTGGAGGCCAGGAGGGCCCCTGGAGGTGGGTGCCGAGGGAGCAGGCCCCTCCAAAGCCAAGGAAGCACCATGCCCCGGCCAGCCGGTCTGCCTGAGGAACACCCTGCTGCCATGACCAGAACATGCCACATTGCTGTGAGCATGGCAGCCTCTTAGTGGCCATGCTGCACCTGCGACCAGGCAGCTCACGGGGTCTGCAGGGCAGGGGCTGGGGGAGACGCAGGCCTTGCAGCTCCTGTAGGGGTGAGGAGGGAGGACCCAGCCACAGGCACATGCAACAGAGATTTCCAGAGAACAACGCACACCTTGCGTTCCTACTGTTTGCATCTGTTTTCCGCTCAGGAGGCTGAGCTAGCCCCCAGCCTGGACCTGGGCTCATACCCCTGCCCCAGTCATGCAGCCAGCTGTACTACCAGACCACACCGAGAAAGGGGCATGAGTTGGCGAGCCTGAGAGGTCCAGTGCTACCCACCGAGCCGTCTCGGGAGGGACGCTGGCAGGCTGGGGCTAGGATGACTGGGTCCCTGAGCCCATGATCCTCCAGGCCCCATTTTTCCACTGTACCCCAACCTGTGAGGGGCTGCTGCCCTCCGCGGGGCCCCTCAGCCGCCTGCAGCTGCAGGTCACGATGAGGCCTCTCCCCACGCCATCTGGCAGATGCTGGTCCTGCCGGCCACACGGCTGCCCGCTGGCCCCTCGGTCCGGGTGGCGGGGGGCCTGGGCCGGGGTGGGCCGCGCCGAACGCCTTCTCTTGTCTTTTAGGAGCTCTGTAGAAAGGACTGCAATCTAGCTGCCCAGCTGCTGCAGTGCAGCCAGACCTACGGCAGGGTCCATAAAGTGTCTGAGGTAACGTGGGCCCCGCCCCACCCCAGGACACTCTGGGCTCCTCTGTGGCCCGCCCCACCCTGAGGCCATCCCTGCCCTTGAGGAGGACCATGCTGGGTGAGCCCCTCCTCACCCCACTGCGGACGCCCTGGCCAGTCCGGCTCTGCGACCCTGAGTTGCCCAGTGCTACCTGCTGCCAGCCCTCCACTGGGCGCTGATTTGCATCTCCCAGCAGCCCCGGGGCTCAGGCTCCATCCCTGGCAGTGCCCGATTCCTGGACAAGAAAGCCAGCTTCAGGATGAGGGACTTGGTCTCAGCCATGGAGTGAACAGGCAGCATGGCGAGAGCTCAGGGCAGTCAGGTGGCCCGAGACCCCCACCTCCATGCAGTCTCCCAGCTGGGCCTCTGTCCACACCCTGTGCCCCGGGCCCGGGCCACATCTAAGACACACGCAAAATAGATCAAACAGTAGTGACATGACACCAGGCGCTGGCGTGGAGCGCGCAGAGGGCCCAGCCCTGGCCCTTCGATCTTTGTTGCATCTGTTTCTGAGTCTGTCTTGTTCAGGGGTACCCAGGCAGTGTGACGGTGGGGGAGCAGTGGGATGGGGGCCCCAGCAGAACCCACAGGCCAGAAAAGGAGCCTCCCTCCTGGGGATGGGAGTGCAGCAGCATGGGGGACAGGCAGCAGGACAGGCAGGCTTCTGGACTCTGCTGGGGCCCTGCTGGAGTCGGCGCAGGAAGTGTGGGTGAAAGTGACCCGGCACCCCCCGACCCCGGGGGCGCTGAGAACACCCACGCGTCCAGGAGCATCCAGGAGCTCCTTCAGGAGTAGTGGCCCGGTCCCCGCTGCCACCATGTGATGTGCCAAGTCCATCCGTCTGTCCGTCCACCTGTCGTGTGGGTCACGTCTGTTACCACGGTCCTCGGCCTTCGGGGCCAGGGCTAGCGGTGCACTGACCGGCACCCCTGTGTTGCCCTCTCCTGCCCTTCCTCCCTGTGCCCTGCGGCGCCCGGTCCAGCTGCCGTCCGACTTCCAGGAGCGCCTGAGCCTGCACTTGGAGAAGCATGGCTGTAGCCTGCCCACCCCGCTCTGCCACCCGGCCTATGCCGACAGCGTGCCCACCTGCGTCATCGCCAAGGTGCTGGAGAAGCCCGACCCTGGCAGCCTGTCCTCCCGTCTGTCAGATGCCTCCGCCCGTGACCTGGCCTTCCGCGATGGCGCCCAGCAGCCTGGCCCCCGGCCCCCGTACAAGGGTGACACCTACTGCAGCGACACGGCCCTCTACTGCCCCGAGGAGCGGCGATGCGACCGGCGGCCCAGCGTGGGTGCGCCCGTGACCGACGTGGGCTTCCTGCGCCCCCAAAACTCCACCGACAGCGCGGCTGAGGAGGAGGAGGAAGCGGAGGCAACAGCCTTCCCCCCGGGGTTCCGGCGCGAGGCCTTTGCAGCCTACGCGGGTTCACTGCCCACGTCTAGCTCCTACTCCAGTTTCAGCGCCACGTCGGAGGAGAAGGAGCACGCACAGGCCAGCACGCTGACCGCCTCGCAGCAGGCCATCTACCTGAACAGCCGCGACGAGCTCTTCGACCGCAAGCCGCCGGCCACTGCTGCCTACGAGGGCAGCCCTCGCTTCGCCAAGGCCACGGCTGCCGTCGCGGCCCCGCTCGAGGCCGAGGTGGCCCCTGGCTTCGGGCGGACCGTGTCACCCTACCCGGCCGAGTCCTTCCGCTTCCCGGCCTCGCCAGGTCCCCAGCAGGCCCTGATGCCCCCAAACCTGTGGAGCCTGCGGGCCAAGCCGGGGGCCGCGCGGCTCTCCCGGGAGGATGTCCGGGGCCAGTGGCGGCCCCTGAGCGTGGAGGACATCGGTGCCTACTCCTACCCGGCTGGCACCGCGGGCCGCGTCTCGCCCTGCAGCTTCTCGGAACGCTACTACGGCGGGGGTGGCGGCAGCGGCGGCAGCCCCAGCGAAAAGGCCGAGGGCCGCGCCAGCCCCCTCTATGCCAGCTACAAGGCTGACAGCTTCTCTGAGGGGGACGACCTCTCCCAGGGCCACCTGGCCGAGCCCTGCTTCCTGAGGGCTGCCGGTGACCGGAGCCTCAGCCCTGGCCGCGCCGCAGACCCCCTCCCAGGCTATGCCCCCAGCGAGGGGGACGGCGACAGGCTCGGGGTGCAGCTCTGTGGGGCTGTCAGCAGCCCCGAGCCCGAGCCTGGCTCCAGGGACTCCTTGGAGCCCAGCTCCATGGAGGCCTCCCCCGAGATGCACCCAGCTGCCCGCCTCAGCCCCCAGCAGGCCTTCCCGCGGACTGGTGGCTCGGGGCTGAGCCGCAAGGACAGCCTCACGAAGGCCCAGCTCTACGGCACCCTGCTCAACTGAGCACCTGTGGACACCGTGGGGCCGCCCGCCCTGCCACACCCACCTCTGTGGGGTCCAACCCGGGGGTGGAAGGCACGCCTCGCCACCCAGCCCCCATGCTCCCCCAGCCCCTGACCCCACCTCCTCCGTGGAACTCCCATCTGGAGCAGCCCTCCCCACCACCATTCCCTCCCCATCTGAGAGGAGTGTCCCCCTTTTATAAAGTGAAACTATTTTTATAGAGAAAAAGGGTCTTTTCTCAGCGCACTCGCCTCCAGCTCCCTGAATGGCAACCGCGGCGTTTCCCATTCAAAGCTCCTTTATTTTGCGGGGTGAGGGTGTGCGCGGGGCGGGGAGGGGGAGGGTGCTGACCTGCAGCGCCCAAGCTCCCGATGTGGGAGATGGGAGACCCCTCCCTAGCAAACCAGCAACTGGGGAACCCTTTCTGTGCTCAAAGGGGAACTAGAGCCGATCCGGGGATAGGAACTGTTGTCTGACTCTGTCTCTCCACATGGCCACTCCTCCCCACCCGAGCCTTTGGTGGCCCGCGCCCGGGCAGGGGCGGGGCTGAGTCCCAGAGGGCCGGTGCTCCCTGTGCCCTCCCAGCGCCCCTTCCCCACACCGCCTCTACCTCAGACGTGTGAGGCCCCGCCCCATCCCGCAGCTTGCAGTCCTGTCAGGTGCATGCCATGTCCGTTACTACTGTGTTTTGCACTCATCAATAAAGACATCAGTGGAAAGCTACTTGGCTGTTTCTTCTTCCTCTAGCCTGGGTGTGGCTCCCTGCCACCACAGCCGCCCTGCCCCTCCCGGCACATGCTGTCACCTGGTCCCATCTGCATCTCCCTCCCTCTTTTGGCCCAGTCCCTGCTTCCCCCTTGAGCAGACTCCTAGGAGTTTCCTGAGAAGAGGACTCCCTGTGTGTGCTGCTCGTTAGTGTGCCCCTTGCTAGCAAAGCATTCTCTCTGGGATGGAGCTCTTGTGGCCACTGCCACGCTACAGGCACGGGCTCAGATCTGGTGGGTGGTGTGGGTGCAGGAGCCCAGTGTCCGTCCATCTGTCCCTCGCCTCCGATGGCTCCGTGAACACTCGCAGGTCCTCAGGGTCTACCTGCAGGCCGCCCCTGAGTGCTCCGTCCCTGTGGAGTGTTGGGTTGTGTAGTTGTGTTCCACACCCACTGTGCAACCTTCTGCGGTGTCCTGTTCCCTGGTCCTGTGAACACCACGGGCACGGCCGTTCCGTGAGCTGCCTACGTGTCATCGTGTGGGTCTCCAGGTTTGTGTGCCTGGTCATCGGACACATGCTTATTCATGCCCCTTGCCCAGGAGTTTTGTGTCCACCGCCTCTGGCACCCTGGGGACCACCTCTACCCAGACCATGCCCTCACGTTCCCAGGCCCACAGGCTCTGTAGCTCCAGGAGGCTCCACTGCTCATTAGGGGGATGGGCAGTGGCTCTGGGCATCACCACACTTCACCTGCTGCTACTGGAGAGCGCAGAGCCCGCCCACCAGCTGTGCTCCCCAGACAGCAGCCCCTGGGCTGGAGGGAACAGGGATCCCCTCTCCAGGGCCTCACTTCCTCCCAGGCAGAACAGGGGGAGTGGACCTTATGGAGTTGGGGCAGCCAAGCATGGGGGGACCCTCTGACCTTGGCCTGCTCACCTGCCCAGCTCTGACTCCCAGAAATGGGGAAGGCTCCACAGCTTCAGCCCAGCAGTGCTTCCACACAGTGGGGCTTGGGGCTGGGTAGAAAGTGGCTTCTTTGTTTGTCCAGTCTGTGGGACAGGCCAACATAGCCACACAGTGAAGGGGGCAGGGCCTGGACTCAGGGACTCAGTCCCCAGGGACTCAGCAGAGTCCAGTCATAGGACCTTGCAGCAGGCTCCCCTGGGACCTCATGCCCGGCAGCCGGGCCACCTCTCCTGGCTTCTCCTGGCAAATCTTGCTTTGCCTCCAAGTCGCCCTGATCAGTGCTGGTTCCAGGTTCCCCTGGAACCTCCAAGTACTCGAGGCATTGGTGGGCAGTTCTGCTCCCCGGGGACCCCTGTGTGACTGGCCCTGTGCACGGGGCTCTGGGCTTTCTGGACCCTGGGCCTGTGGGCATACATGCAGCAGTGTGGGGCACAAGGAGTCACACGGAGGTCCCGACAGCCACTGGGGATGACCAGGCGTCCACTAGGGAACTCCCAGTGAGTTGGGAAGCTGCTCCATGTCCTGGGGTGTCTGCAGCTTCCATCTCGGTCTGTCCCGAGATGCTCTGCATTGGGACTCGTCCCATCCGTCCAGGCAAGCCATAGTACCAGGGTCCGCCTGGCACTCAAAACCCCTCTTGCCTTGGCAGAGCCCAGCTGTGCTGCCGTGCTGGGTGCGGCTGTCCAAGGGCTTTTCAGTGCCACTGGGCAGTGCAGGGCTGGGCTCAGCTGCCAGCAGGCAGTGTCACCTCGGGCATTCCAGGTCCCCTGAGAACCGGTCTCCCCTCTTGGAGCTAGAAGACATGGACTGCTGCCATTTCCAGGGGAGTCAGCGGTCCCCCTCCGTGGAGAATCCTTGGGATGCCAGGAAGGCAGTGAGCACAGAGCCCGAGTGCCACTGAGAGCCCTGGCCCCAAGGGCCATGGGTGCAGCTCTGCCCTCAGAGCAGCAGCTTCCTGCACAGCCAGCAGCGGTTGCAGTGGCCGGCACACACAGCCTATGTCAGCCTCGCCTCAAAGGAGCCGTTCCCGTCACACGACGGCTGCAGACATAGGTGAGCCTGCAACCCGGGAAGGCAGGTGGAGGGCAGAGCGCACGCTTCTTGTTCGTTCCTGCCCTCCCGTTCTCTAAATATAGCTTTCCTATTTTAACATTGCGAGTGGTGAACCCCCGCCACCTTGCCGAGGAACAGACTCACGCGTCTCAAGTGCTCTTGGAGGAGAAAACATTTGGGAAAAGACCTGGACGACAGCACGCAGTACACCTGCCCACAGACTAACCTCTGGGGGCGGGGCCAGAGAAGGTGCTGCCGAGGGTGCGCCTCCCCCCGGCAGCTTGGGGGCTGAGATGTGGACGTGCTGGCCCCCGAGAACACTGCCCCGTAGACCATGTCTCAACAGATGAGGTAAATGGCAAGCAGGCACCTATGAAGGCCTCTCACGAGCAGGGGTGGGCCTGGGGTCTGAGCCAGTTTCCAGCTCCATGACTCGGAGTGGCAGGCAGCCAGCTGGAGCCAGCCAGCCACTGCAGAGCACAGGCGAGTCACCTAGCAGCCCCCTAAGGCCTAAGCCCGGTGGGCCTGTGACTCATGCTCCTGTGGCTTGCGTGTTGAGGCTAAGGCACAGCAGAAGAAGCTGTCAGCCAACCACGCTGCAGGGGAGAGTGGTCCAGGCTCATGGGATCTGTAGAGCTCCAGCAGAGTCCCCAAGACCTGGCCCCCTCAAGCTCCTCTGGAAGACCCCGTGCCTGGGAAGTGGGGGTTCAGAGGAAGCTGCCAACACTGACTTGTGGCTAAACCACCAAAGAAAGAGTCAACGCTCATCTTTATTGGGCAAGGCTGGTCACATGCCAGCAGTCATGGCTCTCGCAGCCCTTGAGACCCTGAGACAAGTAGGCGTCTGTCCACACTGCGCAGACGAGGCAACTCCGGTCTGGCCCCAAGTCAGCCTCGCTGCTCACTCAGTCCCACTCTGGAGTCCAGCTGTCATCAGTGCCATATCTTGATGTCGCCTCCCCAGGAGCAGGTGCCAAGGACGGAGGGAAGCACAGGGTGGTAAGTAGTGCCGACGCAGGCCTGAGTGTGGGCCTGCAGCGTGCACGCGCGCCTGGCCGTGCGGAAGCTGAACATGAGGACCCGGCCGTCAGCGCTGCCCGTCACCAGTAGATCGCCGCAAGGAGAACACTCGCAGCCCACAGCGTAGCCTTCCACCTGCAAGGAGCAAGGGTCTCTTGTGAGGTACAGACTGTCACGCCCACTGCACAGAGCTGCCAGGGAGCAGAACTGGGCTTCCCAGCCAGCATCTCCAAGCCCATGCTCCTTCCCGAGGTACAGGGCCTTTGCCTGGGCCCTGCCTCACAAGGCGAGTTCAGGAGAGTCCAGCCAGGGCCTGCAGCAGCGCCGTCCCTGACAGTCACCAAGTCCTGCCCCTTCCGCCCCAACCAGGCAGGCCTAAGCACCAAAGAAACGGATGTGGAAATGGCCTCCGGGACTGCTCCGTCCTGCCCCAACTCCAGGCCTGAGGCCAGCTGTAGGTCACAGGGCACGTGGCCAGCAAGGGGACAGAGTAGGATCTGCCGGGTCAGAGGGCCATGCACCCTGGAGTCCTATGTCCTTCCCCGGTGCTGTCTGGGGGGGACCAGTGCCCAGCATGAGTTAGACTGGGGGGGAGGGCAAGGAGTGGGCACCTTGTGTCCTTCATAGCGCCGTCTTCTGCTCATCCGGTAGGGCCACACAGCAGAGAAGAGGGCCAGGTAGTTGCCATTGGTCTGTGCCAGGAACACGGGCTCCCTGGGGTGCAGGGTGAGACTGGGACAGGTGTATCTCTCCTAGGACACAGCAGGGTGGCAAAGAGCGTCACAGAAGGCCCTCCCGGCACTCTGCTGCTTGTGGCCAGCCCCGCCCCCAGCCTTGGGTCTGCCTGCGACCACAAAAGCACAGGTATCTAATCTCATTGTTCAACACCAGGAAAGGCCAGCATGTCCCCACACCTGGTTCCAGTACCCGCTGAAGGGCACCAGCACCGTGGTTTTAGCCCCAGTCCTACTTCCCATTTATAAAGGAGCAGGGAAGCCTTATAACAGCAAGACGTTCTTGTCGTGAAGTCCCTCCCCTCTGACCTGCTGCGGGGTCCTCCGCAGCCACAAGGTGCAGAGTCGGGCAGGATAGGGGCAAGCAGGTGGCACTCAGGTGGAGCTCCTGCCCCAATTGCCCCTGCCTCACCTGGCCCACTGCAGTTCTAAGTCACTGTCACAAGCAAGCCCAAGTGAGAGGGCAACGGTGGGTTGGCTGGAAGAGGGTGCCTATCACAGGTACAGGGGCCACTCCCCAGCAAAGCCAGGCTGGAAGGTGGGGTACCAGAGGCCGACAGCTTGGCACAGGGCACTTCTGGCTGCCCTGCCACCCTGCTCTTTCAGGGTGTGTTGGGGGCCCGGCACGGTGGCGCAGTGGTTAAGGTCCTCCCATATGGGCGCTGGTTCTAATCCCGGCGGGCCAGCTCCCTGCCTGTGGCCTGGGAAAGCAGTCGAGGACAGCCCAAAGCTTTGGGACCTGCACCCGGAAGAGGCTCCTGGCTTCGGACTGGCATAGCATCGGCCGTTGCGCTCACTTGGGGAGTGAATCATCGGACGGGGTGTGTTAGGGAGCAGGCAGTCCTCCAGTCCCTCCTGGCACCTGTTCCTCTAGAGACAGGAGAAGGCGAAAAGAAGGTGGCTGTCTACATGGCACATATTTTTAAATTTAGGACAGAGGAACCAGAGATTAAGATGATGAAGATGATGATCATGGTGGGGATGCTGAAGGTGACATGGTCACATGGCAGTGATTGCGGTGGTGGTAACAGAGGCAGTGGCCCCGGTGAGAGAACGGTGGCATGGTGGTGCTGACGGTGACAGAGTTGGGGATGGGGGTGAGGAAGCACAATGGAGCCCTCTGCCTGCCTGCTCCATGCTGTGCCCCTCAGGGGACCCCCCCTGTATCCCTCTTATCATGATCAGAACCGCTCTAGGAGGCCAATGATATCACGCTGCAGATTCCTGTGGGGTAAACAGGAGTCAGAGGCTGAGGCATGGCCCAGGGCCTTCACCTGCAAAGTGGCAAAGCCAGGATTTGAACTCAGGGCATCTCAACTGAGTCACACTGCATGCCCAAGTCACAGAGCAAGGGAGGGCCGGAAACCCCTTCTGCTCAGCCTCTTGGGCCACATGACCTGAGGGGTGACCATGCTTGGACTGAAGGAAGGAGAGCTGCCTTTGGGGACTGATCTTTGCCTAACCCACCATGGAGCCCCTCCCTACAGAAGTGGTCCTGAAGCTCCAGGCAGAGGGAGCAAGACCCCACGGGGCTCCTCACATGGAAGATCTGGTTGGAGATTTTGGCCGAGGTGCGAAAGTCCCAGGCGATGATGGTGCGGTCAGCGGAGTCCCGGGTGGAGGCGTCTGTGCTGCTCAGGAACTCGGAGCCCTCCTGCAGGAACAGGATGTCCAGGGTCTGCTGGATGGTCGCTTTGTAGCCTCTCACCACCTGCAGGGGTACACTCCGCTCAGGCTGGCAGGCCAAGGCTGCACTGACCACATGTCCAGCCTGAGCAGCCCCAAGTTCCAGTAGGCTGCTGTGGCCCTCCTGGGAGGAGGCTCAGGGTCTGACGGGGCACCTTCTCCATCAGACTGGGCCTCCTGACAGCTCCTGGTGTGCAGCAAAGGCGCCAGGGACAGGAGGGGGCACGACGGACACAGCAGGAGCCCTCCACGTGGCTCCCGTCCTCTGAGATGGTCTTGCTTCTGAACATCGTCACATGGCTCAGCTCACAAGGCCAGGACCGCTGTCCCTGCAGGAGCACCAGCGACTCGGGGAGCAAATGTTCCTGGAGACAGGCCATAAAGCCAGGAGCACGGCCCATGTTTCAGCTTTAAAGACACTTTATTTTCTGAGCATTATCACCGATATTTCTTAGCCCCCTGTCTTGTAAACACTACTAAGCTTCATTCAACTGGTCTACTTTGCTTGGAGAACTGCACTGTACTTCTGTTCTAGCAGCAAAAGTCCTCGCCTTGAACACCCCGGGATCCCATATGGGCGCTGGTTCTAATCCCAGCAGCGCCACTTCCCATCCAGCTCCCTGTTTGTGGCCTGGGAAAGCAGTCGAGGACGGCCCAAAGATTTGCGACCCTGCACCCACGTGGGAGACCCAGAAAAGGTTCCTGGTTCCCGGCTTCGGATCGATGCAGCACCGGCTGTTGCGGTCACTTGGGGAGTGAATCAATGGATGGAAGATCTTCCTCTCTGTCTCTCCTCCTCTCTGTATATCTGACTTTGTAATACAAATAAAGAAATCTTAAAAAAAAAAACAAAACGGTTTGGGGAAGTGGCAGGTTCCATCAACAGCACCACTCCGGGCTGACCTGATGAGCCCAGCCTCCTGTAGCCCCGACCCTGGCTCACCAGCTCCTGCGGCGCCACCATGTGGCCACAGCAGGGATGCAGCTCTCGGGTTGGCCCCTTGGCTCTGCAGGCTAAGAAATGAGCCATCTTGAATTTTAAAAATAAACATTGGCATTCACCACTTTCAAACTTTTGTAGATGACATTTTTATTATTATTTTATTTTGATTGTAGATGATATTACTAGCTGCCATTCACATGAAGTGCAGGTTAGACCCAGGGGTGCAGGGCGGGAAGGGGTGTGTGTGGCTGAGGCCCCTTCTGTAGACAGGCCCACTAAGGCTCGTGGCCACTTGGGGTCTGTGGGGACTGCTTCAAGGCTGCAGACCTTCCCAACTCCAGCTGCTGTCCTGAGGCCAACGGACTTGATCCAGGTGCCCTCGCCGGTGGCCAAGCAACACACCACCAATCCTCTTAGCCTCTCAGGCACTGCTTGTAACTAGCTTGCATGGGGAGCTGTGTAACCCCGGGCGAGAAGAGAGGCTGGCGCTGTTCCTCCATGGCCACTCACAGCTTGCCTTCCCCCATGCCTCAGGACTCCCTGACCCTGTTTTACTCTAGGGCAGCCCCAAGCAACATAGTTCCAAGTCTCATAGAGCAGGTGGGTCGAGGGGAGGCTCCACCCCTGGCCAGGAGCCCAGGGGCCACATCCAGCTAAGATGGTCCAGCTGCTGGAGCCATGGCCCGGGCTAGCAGGCTAGGGCACACTGTCACTGTCCCAGCCCCTGTCCTGGTGAGTGAGTCAGCAGGACACAGAACAGAGATGGGCATGGTGGCACACAGGTGAAGTCACTTGCTTAGGACACCCAGCTCCTGTGCCACAGTATGTGGCTGGGAACCCTGGAGCGTCTCCCAATTCCAGCTGCTAACGCGCACCCTGGGCAGCAGCAGACAACAGCGCACATACTTGGGTCCTGGCAACCCAACTGGGAAACCCAAACTGAGTTCTTGGGTCTCAGCTTTGGTATCGACTAGCCCTGGCTCTTAGGGCACTGGGGAATGAGCCAGCAGATAGAAGGTCCCTCTCTATCACTCTGCTTTTGAAATTAAGATAAATAACACTTGAAAATGAAATAAAAAATAGCTCCACCCAAGGTGGCGTCTGGAGCAGAGGTCCCCAGCATCTGCCACAGTGGGGGAGAGGTGCTCCAGAGCCATCTGTCGGCCCTGTCCCTTTCTGTTCCTTCAGCCCCAGCGAGGGTCAGGGCTCATCTCACTTAAACCACCCTCCCTCTGGGCCACCCAGGATGCCCATGGCCCTGGGTTGGGTCAGAACTGGGCACTTCTCTGCCCCCTCCCACTGGAGAAGAGAGGAACAGGGAGTAGACAGATCCAGAACACCCACTGCCAAGAGGAGCAAGCTGGGCCTGACCTGTGACTCCGGCAATGGCCCTGACCTGTGACCCTGGCCATGGGCCTGACTTGTGACCCCGGCAATGGCCCTGACCTGTGACCCTGGCCATAGGCCCTGACCTGTGACCCCGGCAATGGCCCTGACCTGTGACCCTGGCCATGGGCTCTGACCAAGCACCAAGGCCCCATAGCCACGGAGAGCACCTGTGGGTAGGCAGGTCCAGCTCCCTGCTGGCAGCCTGGAACCTCCATATCTGCAGGGTATGACCCAGGAAGGATGCAGGTGGGGGTTCTCCCGGCTACTCACAGGGCACCTATGACGTGCCAGCCACTGCCTGGGGAGTCACATAAGTGACCTCTCGACTTCAGCTCCCAAGGTGACCTCTCCTAGGGTGACGTGCCCTCCACATGCTCCCAGAAGAGAAACTTTCCAAGGAGGGTGCAGACTGCCGTCAGGAACATTTTCTGAGAAGGGATAGAAATGGCCCAATTCATTAGGGCATCGTAAAAGTGAATGGCTGGGAAGCAAGCTGTGTGACAGGCGATGCCTGCGGATAACGTGCTGGCAGTGGGAGGCTGGCCTTTGGAGTGATCCTGCGAAACATGATTTACTCGCCGCTGCAACTGCTCGTGCCCCAGCAAAGAGCAGGGGAGCCGTGTGTCGAGCTGCTGGGTTTTACGGCAACCTTAATTACGTGGCAGCTGGAACATCTCGTCCCAGGAAGGCGGGGGAGGGTGCTTGGGACAGCACCGCTGGGTGTGACTAGAGACTTGTTGACTGGCGGCCCCTGCTGGGGAAGTGGATTCTGGCTTGGGGAAGACAGGGATGGGTGACAACCTCAGGGGTGACAGAACCAGCCAATGTCCCTAAAGTCAGCCATTCCCACGAGGGCAGACGAGGGTTGCTGTGGGCTGCTGCTGAGTCGGCAGAGGTACGGACGGCTCTCCTGAGTCCCTTCCTGTCTAACCTGGGCTCCAGGACCTGCACTGGGGGCAGCAGTGGTGTCAGGACATCTGGAGACTTGGGGCTCCAGTCTGACTCTCTGGAAGGTGTTGTTTATGAATAGTTGTCCACGCATAGACACATGCTGGGCTGGGTGAACGAGTTGAATTATTCTGATTCCTGATTTTGAGACCTTACAGCTTTGGGGGATTTGAGGATGAAGCAAACGGGTGAGGACTCTGAGTGTCCATGTGTGGCTGTGTCACAGTTAAGTGGACAGGCTGGAGAGGTGACCGAATAAACCAACAGACAAGGGAACAGAGGGACAGCGAGTTCGGGGCCTCTGACTCTCAGGACCCGCCTGACCCTTACGGTTGAGCCCCACACCGAGACCCTGCGGAGGGGGACATGCACAGGTGTCTGATGGGGGCCACAGCGGAGCTGCTGAGGACCACAGTGGGCATGGGAGGAGAACAGAGGGACTGTGCTCAATGCCACAGCACCACGGGACACCCAGAGGCCGGAAGGAGAAGGGTGTCAGGCAGGAGGGCCGGAGGCAGCTGCCTAGGGACCCAGGCCTGCTTGGCTTGTATGACTCAGCTCATGGCCCCTGCATTCAGCGTCCACGCGTGTGAGTGGCGGAAACAAGACTCGGAGCTGAGGGAACACCACAGGCACTCTGCCCAGCTAAGGACTCGGAAGCCTTCTCCTTCCGGGTCAGCCAGCATTGATAGCCCCATGTGGGGTGGTGAGCTTCCAGCTAGGCCCCTTCACCCCGGATTTCCAGCCTTTTTCCAGGAGTGCAGAGTCCCTTTAAATCACACAGAGCAAAGGAGCTTGTTGATACAAGCCCTCCAGGCTGTAGGAGAAGTCGCACACAAACACCCCTACACACCAGAACACGAGTGCCTGGGAGGGGCAGACACAGTGTCTGAAGCCAGATAATGAAGCTTTATGGGAAAACGGGCGTGTGAGCAGAGTTCACGGCTTGCTCATACAAGTGCAGCACACATGGGTACTGAATAGGGACACTATGTCCTGCTCCTCAACTAACCACACCAGTCAGCTTGACAACACGGCCAGGCATGTGCCAGGCACCCTGCTGTCAGAAACGCACAAGAACCCCTGGGGTGGATTTTGGAGCCTCGGGGCCAAACCACACACTTCACTCCTAAGCGACACACAGCCTAGCAACCCGCTTCTAACGACCAATCCAAAAGTTACACAGCGAATCCCAAGACACACACAATGTACCCAAAAGTAGCACTAGTTCTTTTTTAAAAGATTTATTTTATTTATTTAATTTTTTTGGAAGGTCAGATATACAGAGAGGAGAAGAGAGAGAGGAAGATCTTCCGTCCATTGATCTACTCCCCAAGTGGCTGCAACAGCTGAAGCCAGGAGCCCAGAGTCTCTTCCGCGTCTCCCACACAGGCACAAGATCCTGAGGATCTGGGCCATTCTCGACTGCTTTCCCAGGCCACAGCAGGGAGCTGGATGGGAAGCAGGGCTGCCGGGATTAGAACCGGCGCCCATATGGGATCCCAGTATTTGCAAAGGGAGGACTTTAGTCACTAGGTTACTGCGCCAGGCCCAGCAGCACTAGCTTTTAAATTTTTTAAAATTATTTATTTATTTTTATTTGAAGATAGATTTATAAGAGAAGGAGAGACAGAGATAGAGGTCTTCTACCTGCTGGTTCACTCCCCAGATGGCTGCAATAGCCAGAGCTGAGCTGGTCTGGAGCCGGGAGCCAGCAGCTAGGAGCTTCTTCTGGTTCTCCCATG